GGACACTCTTCAACATTGTAGACGAGAATAGACTTCATGACAAAAATCTCTATTTTGTTGATCTTCTATTACTGATCTTCTATCTTCTTCAATTTTGCTCAAAACACAAAAGAGTGTAGAAAATAATCCCCATTTAAGGGCGATCACTCCTATGAAGAGTGACAGTCTACTAACTTTATCGTCAAAATTTGACTTTTTAATAGATCTTGCCTTGCTGATCATTTTTGAGATTTAAAGTGTTTATTTATCTATTATAATTTAAATCATATGAGGCATTTCGTAAAAAAAAAAATTTCTCTCTAAACATCATAGTTTTCATGAAAATAGGCAAAAATGAAAAAAAAATGGTAAAATTTGTCATTTATGGGCAAGAACTCCTATAAGAATTTGTCTAACAGTTTTGACGTATATGGAAAATTGGTAGAGCTCATTATTCTGAACATTTTTGCTCCTTTCAGATTTTCTCTATTTATAAAGGTTCAAAAAATAATAGACAAAACTTGCATTTTAAATCTATGTTCTTTTTTTAGCCATGTCGGCCATGTTGGTTGGTAAGCGGGGTCATCGGACACGTTTTTTAAACTAGATACCCTAATGATGATTTGCTCTAAATGCTTTGGTTTCAGAGATACTAGAAAAAACCCGCGCGAGCGCGGCTTTGAGACTACTTGAAATATTTATGGTGATACACAGCTTGGGTTCGTGTTTCTCAAACTGTTTTTATGCACTGATGCATTATGTTGATAATTTTGATTAGTTTGTCAGTTCTTCTTTCATAGGAGTTTGAATGTCCAATTAGTAGCTTCTGTCTCGGTGTTACACAGGTGCTCCTACAACGGAGGAAATAACTCAGAGAAGAAGACAACCTAGAACACTGATGATTAAAACATTTCTCAGTGGTGCTAATTTGTTGTATTTCTTTTCTTTTCGAAAGGTGCGAGTCAAGTTCTGTCTCTGTGTGATACGGGTGCTCCAAGAATGGAGGAAATAACTAAGAGAAGACAATCTAGAACTCTCTGATGATTTAAAACATTTCTTCAGTGGAGCGAGTTTGTAGTATTTTTTTTCGAGTGGTGCGAGTTCTGTCTCTGTGTGACACGGGTGCTCCGAGAAAGGAGGAATTAACTAAGAGAAGAAGAAAACAATCTAATGATTAAACACATTTCTTCGAGTTTGTCATATCCTTTTTTTTTTTGAGTGGTGCGAGTTTGATAAAGTGATGCAAGTTGTAAAAATTAGTGAGAGTGTTTGAATGGTGCGAGTTGGCCGTGGGCCGAGGTGTCATAAATTCAAGTCAAATTGAATACAAAACCATTTCCGCCTGCTTACAAAACGTAGCCGGTAAGGAACCAGCTACGGAACTTTATTTTGGGTTTAATTAATTAAGGTGGTACCAAACAGCTTGACTAGAATTAATTTGGCTCGTTTAATTTTCATAAAATTTGACAAAATATTTACTTTGACCCTTTGACAAAAATATAAAAATTTCAAAAAACTTGAACCACACACTTTATCGGAAAAATTTCATTGGATATATAGCAGTTTGACAAACACTAATTATGATCATTGAGAAGCTTAATATTTCCTTAACAATAGAACGTGATTAAAACGTTGAGCTGATTTTTACAGAGTTATCTCCATGTAGTGTTATGTACCACCCTAAGCTACGCGAATTAAAGCAATTACTATATGAAATTATAAAGTACATTACATACACTAACTATTTATCATTATATAATACTTCAGACGATCGTCGGCTCGGAGACAAAATTCTGTCTCTATGTGACACTAGTGCTCCGAGATAGGAGGAATTTACTAAGAGAAGAAGAAAACAATCTAATGATTAAACTCATTTCTTCGAGTTTGTTATATTTCTTCTTTTTTTTTTGAGTGGTGCGAGTTTGATAAAGTGATGCAAGTTGTAATAATTAGTGAGAGTGTTTGAGTGGTTCGAGTTGGCCGTCGGCCGAGTTGTCATAAATTCAAGACAAATTGAATACAAAACCATTTCCGCCTGCTTACAAAACGTAGACGGTAAGGAACCAGCTACGGAACTTTATTTGGGGTTTAATTAATTACACTACGCTAATTAAAGCAATTACTATATGAAGTTTTAAAGTACATTACATACACTAACTATTTATTATATATATAATACTCTAGACGATCGTTGGCTCGGAGACAAAGTTCTGTCTCTGTGTGACACTGGTGCTCCGAGAAAGGAGACATTTACTAAGAGAAGAAGAAAACAATGTAATGATTAAACACATTTCTTCGAGTTTGTTATATCTCTTTTTTTTTAGTGGTGCGAGTTTGATAAAGTGATGCAAGTTGTAATAATTAGTGAGAGTGTTTGAGTGGTGCGAGTTGGCCGTGGGCCGAGTTGTCATAAATTCAAGACAAATTGAATACAAAACCATTTCCGCCTGCTTACAAAACGTAGTCGGTAAGGAACCAGCTACGGAACTTTATTTGGGGTTTAATTAATTAAGCTACGCTACATTACATACACTTGCTATTTATTATTATGTAATCGTCGACTCGAAATTTAATAGTGTAGATAAACCAAAATCTACATTTTACCCCTATGTTCTATTTTAGCCATGGTGGTCATCTTGGTTGGCGGGCCGGGTCATCGGACACATTTTTAAAACTAGATACCCCAATGATGATTGTGGCCAAGTTTTGTTAAACTTGACCTAGTAGTTTCAGAGGAGAAGATGTTTGTAAAAGTTAACGACGAGGGACGACGACGACGGCCGACGGACGCCAAGTGATGAGGAAAGCTCACTTGGCCCTGTGGGCCATGTGAGCTTAAAATGTATAAATGTTCGGTTTGCCCATTACACCCACCAAATTCGGTTAACAAGACTTTTTTTCTTCTTAGTCAATTGGTAAATTGTGTAACTTTGTTTTTTTCACAAGCGCCTTCAAACAAACTATCAATATTAAGGTGAAACAAATATGTATTAATTTGAATTTAAACCATGACAAATTTGACCAAAACCATGACGAATTTCTAGACACTTAACTGAACCATGTCAATCGCTTAACCAAACCATACCAATTTCGATATTTCGGTTATCCTGCGTTAATTTCTTAAAAACAACAATTTCAATTTAGATTGTTTGAGTAACATTATCGATTCAAACATGTAACTTGCTTTTTATTTGCTCATTTGAAGAGAACTGAGGCAATCTTTCTGGGAAGTAATCTAACTAATCCATGACCGACTTATCCAAACTATGACAAAATCACTGTACTAAACACTCCTCGGTACGACGACGTTACTACCCGTGACCAAGCTACTTTCAAAATTGACATTTTGTATTCTTAACAATTATTTGATCATTATTGATATTTATTAAACATATTTAATTACAAAGTAGCTTTTTATAGATTATGGTTCAAGAAAAATACAAACATGTTTTTCTTTTTTTCAAATAAGTGTTTTCTTTTTTTACAAAAACTGAATTGTGACTTTTTGTCCTATGTCATTTTGTACGTGACTTTTTGTCTGTGACGTTTTGTCCTGTGACTTTCTGTCCTACATTCCCCGTTCAATACTAGGGTTCATTAGAAATAAAACCCTATTCATTTACATGGTTAGTTGATCAACGTAATTTTTTCAAAATAAAATTAGGTTCTCATTTCTCAATTAAGGAATACATCTCCCTCATGTAAAGCTCTGATTCAAATCCTGGCTTTGGCTATATACTTTTTGTCCTTTTTGGTTATATCAGCTTTTTAACTTTTTGATAAGTTATAGATTTTCAAGTATTTTGGCTTCTAACATCACTGATGAGACATTTATAGTCGAAATGCGCATCTGGTTCAGTAACATTGGTAGCGTTGTTATTACTGTATTTTAACAGTTGACGGTTTATTCTATATATCAATTGTCTAAAGATTTGTCAAGGAGTAAATGTCTGTCTGACGGAGTTCACTTGAAGTTGTTGTCATTTTGATAAGTATTTGAAATAATGAAAAGATGCATTTTGCGATGGATTTTAATCATTAGCTTAAAAATGAGTACGTGGACCCCTCTTTTTTAAAATGACAAATGACTTGATTCTATATGAAGATTTTTTGTTCCAATTTTCATGAAAAAAATACCGATGAATTTTTTTTTAAATTAGATAAACATGCAGATAAAAGGCCGTTTTTCACTAAAATCATGTAATTTTGAAATAGATTAATTATTTTCAAAGAATTGTAACACAAATTAAGAGCATACTTTTGTAAAGAAGATATTCCAAATCATTTTACAAAAATCCACATGTGTTTATCTTTTGAAACAAAAAAGTTAAATATGTCTGTCCAAAGAATAGAAATGTCCAAGAAACCGAAAATTTTGGTAAATGGCTAAAATCTCGAACCCATATATCTCTTAATATAGCAATTGAAGGTATTTTTGTTATCGCATATTTGAATTAACAAAGTGAAAAATAGCCTGTATGCAAATTATCGTAAAACATCAAAATTGTATCGTATGTCCATAAGGCTTAAAACTTCTAGATTTAGTGGAAAACTACAAAAAAGGGACGTCAATAAAAACTGACAAAATCATACGTTAGACATTATCAATCAACAGAACGAATGGAAAGAAATTAATAGTCATATATGGACCAAGGCTTTACACGAAAAGATATTATGTGTGTACAATAGCATAAGAGGTAAAGCATTTGTTCATATATATATATTGTTCTAAAGCTATGCAAAATGGCAATTGTTGGTAAAGCATTTCAATTTCAAAATCTTTATTACGTCATAGTAACATCACATATGACCTTTAGGCATTGAAGTGTCCTGAGTTTATCAACCAGTTCATTTGTCAATAACGCGAGCATAAATTTGTGAGTCTTGAATAATTGTACTTTTTTGCATGTGAATATTTTCATGTATTTTATTTTGACGTTTTCATTGTTTTATCATTTTTTTCTAAATTTGAAATTTAACCATATGAAATTTTTAATAGTAAATAAATGTTTTTTTTACAGGCCATGGCTACTTCTTTTGATAATTGTGGTATTTGTAATGTACGACATATATCGAAGCCATCTGTTGTCTGGTGCTCTGATTGCAATGAAGGACTGTGTCAAGACTGTAGGGAATATCACAGCTTATCTAAAGCATCACAAAATCACAACGTTGTTCCTATTGCTGAATACCAAACATTGCCATCCTTTATTACAAACATAAAATTGCACTGCGATCAGCACGATGAGAAGTATTCATTGTTTTGCAAAGAGCATAACGAATGTGTTTGTAGAAAATGTGTCATTTCAGAAAAGCACAGGGAGTGTAAGGAAATGTTCCCCGTTGAAGATGTGATTCAGAATTCTAAGACATCTGTAGCATTTACAGAAATTGAGTATTCGCTCAAAGAAATGAAGGAGAACATCACTCTTATTTTAGGAGACAGACAAAAAAATATATCTTCATTGTCAGCTGCGAAAAATAAAATAGAATCCGAGATTTTGGCAATTCGACAACAGATAAATCACCACCTTGACAAAATACAAGACCATTTTATCGTTGAACTAAACTCAGCAGTGGAAAATTCAACCCAACAAATTCAGAATGTCCTTGCGTGTCTGCAGGAAAACCAAAGAGAAATTGAGGAATGCATAGAAGACATGATAATCATAAAGAAACACGCGACCGATCTGCAAACGTTTTTAGGAATCAAGGAATTAGAAAACAAACTGAATGACACAGAAATCAAATTGCTGTCAGGGCGTAATGGTGAACGTTTGGCTCAAACCGTAGTTTCTTACCAGTTAAACAGCGTATTACAAAATATCAATGACGAAATAAATACGTTTGGAAAAACTGTCGTTGATATCCGAACATGTGAACTTTCATTACAAAGAAGGAAAGATGGTCAGGCTCAGTTGATGAAAGGAAATATCGGACCTAAATGTTCTATTGAGCATATAACACTGAAATTAAAAACAAAAATAAATACAACAGCATCAAATGTGTCAGGCTGCTGTATTTTACCTTGTGGTAAATTTGTCGTGTCAAACTTTTATCCTTCGTATTTGAAATTGTTTTCACCTGATGGGGAAATTGAAAAAAAAATTACTAACATCATGCCCAAAATTTATGATGTTGCATGTATCGACAATGACGTTGTTGCTGTAATATCGGCTACTGCTAAAAATATTAAACTTGTCAATTTGAAATCAGAGAAAACATTCAGAACTATTCAAATGAATTATCCTTGCTATGGAATCACTTACTCTGAAGGCAACTTTATAGTTTGTCCCAAAAGTGGACAGTTACAGGAAATCAGACTGGAGGATAACAAGACAACTGATATTGGCAGTGATATGGTTTCAGAATATATCGCTGCATTAGGCAATACACTTTATTCTAAAAATAAAGAAACAGGTGCCATTGTCATTCACCATAAAGACGGGGATTTACTGTGGACATTTTCAGACGATAAGGCTCTTTTGGAGCCAAGATGTATCACAGTGGATGATCATGGAAATGTTTTCGTCGTCGGAAAAGAATCAAATAATATTATTGCAATAGCCTCTGATGGCGAAAAGCACAAAATACTCCTGTCAGAAACAGACTTATGTGGTGTTCCCTGGGCAATTGACTACAATAATGAATTAAAATATTTGCTTGTAGCAAACGAAACAGATGGCCACGCATATTTGTACATTGTTAACCACGGGTAAACAATATTCTCACCTGATAAACTGTTTGTAACCTTAAAGAAAATATTTGACATGAATAACTTGTCATATTTTATTCCTATTATATGGAACTAACCAATATCTTTTATTACTGTTTAGTGTATGATGATGTCATATTTATAGAAATTTGTTCCAACCCTATTCCAAATAGAAATTGTCTGTTCACACTTATGTATATTGTCTTTGTAACATTGGTCCTAAAACAAGATAATTGACAGCACGATTCAAGGATTCGAGATTAGGGCTGGATGGCAAACTTAAAATAATTTGAAAAGGTGTTGAATGACAAAAGATAAATTTTCCGAATGTAGGTGGTACGTCCCCCGATTCAGCGCAAGAGGAATTTCTGTTAAGCAGTGATTGCTTGCGATCGAACGCAATTATACTTGCACTCTCTAAAATAATACACTTTAAAAATGTAAACTTATTGGAGTGATTCACCAAGAACTACATGCATTGACTAATTAATATCACCAATTTTTTTCAACTTAAATGTTCTCACGCAACCCATTCGGTAACCTTTAGAGTTAGTTATTTCTATTGGATTTCACACTGTAATATTGTCATGACAATGCAATATAGCGGTTTGATGACAAGTAGAAGTATGCTTAAATGAAACCAATATAATAAATGCTCAGCTATCGGCTGTACTTTCTTCGTTGTTTGCATCCGAGTCAAAACAGAAAGCGTCTTTAAATTTCCTTTTCTGTTTAAAAAGTTGGGCCTCGATGGCCGACTGGTCTACTGTATCCCAAGTCTGTCAACACTAAAGTTGTGAGTTCGAACTCGCACGTAGCGTGTGCATTCGTCGCTAATCTTAATTGACTGAGATTGTCAGTTTTCCATGCAAAGGTCGTTATTCTCTCCGGGTATTCCAGCTTTGTCAATCAATAAAATCTTACCGCCACAATATAGCCAATAGTGTTGAAAGTGGCGTTCAACACCAAAAAAATAAATCAATCAATCACAAATTGGTACTTATCTTTAAATTGACCTTGATCACAACCATTTCAACCAATCATTAAGGTTATTATTGTGACTAGAACACAGGTTTACATAGCAAACTATTTTGAATGTTACATTTGCATGATATTCATAATACATATTGTGAACAGTTGTTGTAAACATATATCTTTTCATATTGTCCTGGTAATTCTTTTTTATAATAAAAAAAATCGGGATACTTTTGTTATCTAGTTTTTCTCAACACAAGATTCTACTTTTTTCAATTTTATAGTGTATATGCGTTGATCATTTTTAATATACATACACGCCGTTTAATTTGCTGCTGTGATTTGATCAGTTCCGTATTTGGTGTTGATGGATGTTGCACATTCAATAAGGTTGAACAGTACGAGTTATGTCACAATATGAAGTCCGATTTAGTGTCTTCTCTAACCTAGTATAGCTTTTACTGTTAATGTACCGGTAAGTTCCTTGCTCCTTGCTATATTATTCCTGTTTCATTTCAACATGCTGTCAATGCAGTTGTATTTCAATTCACGAAAAAAGTTATAACTCGTTTTTTATGTGTAGTGTTTAATTTGCAAGGAAGTGTTTTATCCCTGGCAATAGTAAATTTTGATTGTCTAGTGCATGTTCCACTTATAAAGGTGTCTGATGCATCTGACAAGCATTTTTGCACCGAAACGAATATGTTTTCTTAATTAGGCCTTCAAAATAATTTATTCACATACGTGCTTCTTTTAGCGATATTCTATATTTCCGGGGCTGTTTGGTGGATCTTACTTTCATAAAGGGTCTTTAATAGTTTGCCTGGACAGATACATGTGGAATGTAATTGTTCTGTGAGTGTCATTTATTTTGCAAGATATATGCAGACAAGCTGAAGCTTTAAACGGTTTAGAAATGATGTGTCCTGAAACCTTTTAAATAATTGACTTATAACACGATAACGTCGCATCAAGGAGAAACTGTACAAAAAGATAGATATATAGATACTTTATTCTCTAAAGGTGTAATACCACCAAATCATAGTACGTCACATCCGGTTGTATACGAAAATAGGTCGAAAAAAAATATTCCCTTGAATTTGACAGTTGTAGGTAATTGATCCTACATTTCATTGCTACATTTCTGGGTCATAAACATATATCTTTGGTATTTCAAAGCACCATTATATTTTTATTTGGGGTTTCTATAGAATATTTTGGAAACTTGAGGTTACATGGTTACTAAAGCTTGTACACAGGTTAAAAAAGGGGGAAAATTTGATTGGTTTACTTCCAGTGATGGTTATTTTCTTATATGCAATGAAATGTTATGTGAAATTTTTTTCTATAGTACTGGACAGGATAAAAGTTAACTCATGCCAAGTATTTCTTTATTTGAAACAAAGATAAATTCTGCACAATTTTTTGAAAAGTGCAAATTTAACAGAGACTAATAGGGGAAAATCAATGGTGGTATTACACCTAAAACCAGTTAACAAAGGTACAGAGAAGGAAACATAATAATTAAACATACAATGCTTAAGATGTTATATTGAGTTAATTTATAACAGAAGTTTATTTTAAAGATTAATTTATTACATTTTTCTTAAAACTTGATATAAATCTAGATCTTAAAAAATCTATTTTGTGAGACGGGATAATCACGAGAATTTATCTTTATCTCTAAATAAGCGAAATCAAAAACAAATACGCTAAAAAATACGTGCATTGCCAACCTATGTAACGCTCTCTATTCAATACTTAAAAAGTGCACCAAAACGCATCTTATAAACAATATGTGTCCGCTGTATCTTGTAATTTTACGTAAAATTACGATTTATAAGGATAAATGATTTGAAACTTGGCAACCACAATACTCGAATGTATATATAAAAATAAGAAGACGTGGTATGATTGCCAATGAGACAACTCTCCACAAAAGAACAAATGACACAGACATTAACAACTATAAGTATTGTCAATAATGCTCGTCTATAAATTATGTATAATAAGAGATGTGGTGTAATTGTCAATGAGGTAACTATCCAATATGGTCAAAATGAAGGATATTCAAGCAACTATAGATGTCTCCGCAAGGCCTTGAACAATGAGTAAAACCCATACCATATAGTAAGATACACAACGTCTTGACATGACAAAATGTAAAACGATTCAAACAATAAACGAAAAACATAATATATGACTGACATCAACGAACGATAAACACTAAATTACAGGCCCCTTAAATCTATTTGATACAGACATACACAGTATGACGATGGGTTAAACATTTTTGTGAGCGCACTCAACCCTCCCCTACTGCTCTGAGACAGTGGAGTAACAGCACAACAAATAAGAACAATGAAGAATCAGTTGGAAATGGTTTGACTCATCAGAACCACAGGAAGGACAAAAAACAACTAACATAAAGACAAATGACACAATGTACTCGTAATTAATAAAAGCTAGTTCAAAGCCAATAAAAACTAATAAATAAATCATGCTTTTCCAGACCATAAAAAAAATCAAATTTTAAATTTTAAAAATGAAAGAGATCGGCCAGTTCAATTGATCCCTAAATATAAAACATTGGTAAACATTACACATGTTACAACAGATAAGATATTTTTTGCAAACGGCCTTTTAAAATTTTGACGGGACCTTGCCTGTCAACATAGGCACAATAAAAAAAAGTAAAGTCCACCTCATTTGAATCCAAGGCTTTCCTTTTAATTGTTGTGTATTTTATTTGTTTAAATTATTTGCTAAGAGTTGTCTTTTCTTATTAATAGAAAATTGAAACGTGAGCTATATAGTTATTGATTTCATTCTAAAGTTATATTACCTGTTGTTTTTTTATCACGTGATCAGATACAATGACGTATTATTTACTTCCCTTTGAATTAGTTAGATTTGGTGACACTGAGTGCCTGTTTTTATGCTTCATCGAAAATAAGGTATGTACAAGAGCTTTTGTTATCAAAATAATACCTTCCATAATTCAATTCTTAAATTTAAACAACAAACTATTCTAACTTATACATTAGACTGTTTGGTTTAGCACACTGAGGGCACGGCGGACGGGCACCCATCAAGTTGGCTAAACAAATTAAAGAAAATGGGAAAACATACTGTAAACCCTTTCCTAAGAAACCATTCGATTATGTGATAAAAGGGTAACCAGTACAGCACAAATAGAAGCTTGAAGATACAGATTACTTCCCTTTGCCAATTGCACCAAGCTTAATTTTGAGCAAAAATATTCAAAAGTTTTAACATCTACCTTAGTAGCAATATCCCAACTTCACCTGCATATGGAATATACATTTCCCAACTTCGGTATGCAAGAGCTTGCAGCTGCTATTCAAACTTCGTTTGATGTGTTTGAGCTTTTAATTTTGCCATTTGCTTAGGGACTTTCCTTTTAGAATTTTCCTCGGAGTTAGGTATTTTTGTTATATAATTTTTTTTTAACAGTGACATGCCCATGTAATTTTTTACACGTTCTCGAAAGAAACTGGACACTTTATTGTGTTGATTTTGAAAGAAATTGCCCACCTTTTATCAGTTTTGAACAAATATCAAAAACCACTACAACATAAAGTCTTAAGTATTCACTTCTTGGAATGATGTGGAATAAATATGAATAAAAATATCCGTAGTATACGTCGAAGAAACCCCAAACACCACAATAAAACCAAAAAGATATGCAGTGGTCAAAATACTGTCGTCAACAATAGACATGGGTATATTCTATTTGTCAAGATCTCTTTTCCCTATAAAGAATATCTATACTACTATAATAACGAGGTCCAATTTGTTAGCCGGCATGACGTAAAACGACGAATCAAAGAATTCAACTTTATTCATAACTTATATAGGACAATGGTGCTGATTAAAAATTATACCATTCCAGGCCCTTTTGTTGTTCCACATAATTGATATTACCAATAATTAACAAGTTCCGGGTCGAATCCGATATCGATACCAATAGTACCTGTTACCTGTTATCTAATCTGTACGTTCCGCCTCTGTCAGGCGAACCATCAAACGGTGTATTTGGGATTTGCTATATTCACGGGTCATAATCACACCTAAATTTCGTCATTATACAGGGATTAACACTACTCAATTTAATCATTGACAAACAAAATATTTCTACAATTAGTTTCCGATTGTAGTAAGAAAAACAGGACGGATTCAAAAAGAAAGATTTTGAAAGCAGAGAAAACTGTTCACCTTATAATCAGCATGACTTTATCAAAAGGCAATATGTATACTAAAAATCCAGGCTGAAAATAAGGCGTAGATACTTTAAATCAGCTACAGACCCACGATGTAGCGGGTGTTTTCTAGTATTAACATAAAACAAATTTAACTTTCTATTTTTTTAAGTATTCATTCTAAATTATTCTGTTTTATCTTGATCAGTTCTAAACAAAAGGTACACAGAAGACGCCAAATAAAAATTGGATCGAAAGTTTTCATGATATGATCTTTTCACATACACTATAAGTAGTTATAGGTTAACTATACTATATTTAACACATAATGATTAAAAGGTGTACCCATTCGCGTGACACTGACCATATTTTTTTAATAGTTCATTCATTAACGTTTTCGTGATTTTGTTATTTCTTCAGTTACCATAAGTAAAACCCCAACAATTTGTTTTTATAAAGTAGTATCGTAAAGCGTTCTTTGCAATCTATCAGGATTCATATGAAATTGACATCATTTTCATGATTGATTAACCAACGTTATGTTTTGATAATTAGATAAATTTCTCTGTTACTGTAAGTATTACGTCCCAACTACGCAAGACTCATCAGTGCCGTTAGGATCATAACAGTGTATAGGTCAGATCAAATACGAAGTGAAGAACATAAAATAGTTTATGGTATGTGTATCGTTATCAAGAAAATATTTGATTTATTTGATTACAAGACATAATGGGAATAAACCGATCAAAAATATAGTGCCACAGTACTTATATTTCATACAGTTCATTGTGTTTTATCATCATTCTTAATTTAAACATATGCGATTCTTTATAAAAATGTATAGATTGTGTTTACAGGTCATGGCTACCTCTTTTGATCATTGTGGTATTTGTCAAATCAAGACACGTTTCTAAGTTATCCGTGGTTTGGTGCTCAGATTGCGATGAAGGATTATGCCAAGACTGTATAGAAAATCATAGCTTGTCAAAGGCAACACGAAACCATAAAACTGTTCCTATTGACGAATATCATAAGTTGCCATCTTTTATTGCAAACATCACACTGCACTGCGATGAACACGATGAGAAGTACCAATTGTTTTGCAAGGAACACAATGTCATGTTGTGTAGAAAATGCGTCATTTCTGAAAACCACGTAGAATGTAAAGTTATATTCCCTATTGAAGATGTCATTCAAAATGCTAAAACATCTATAGCCTTTACAGAAATGGCGTCCTCATTCCAGGAAATGAAAGAAAATCTCCAACTTATCCTTATGGACAGACAAAAGAATCTATCTTCACTATCAGATTCAAAACAAAAACTGGAGTCCGAGATATCAGCGATTCGGCACAAGATTAATCAAGACCTTGATATAATACAAGACCATTTCATTGTTGAACTGAACAAAGCTGTAGAACATTCAACACAACAAATACAAAGCTTCATTGCATCTCTGAAGATTAACCAAAGGGAAATTGATGAGTGTATAGAAGATGTAGAAAACATAAAGAATCATGCAACAGATATGCAAACATATATAGGAACCAGGCTTTTAGAAACTAAACTGAATAGAACAGAAAATGACATGCAGGCTTGGATTAATGGTGGTAGTTTAGCTCACACTGTAGTTTCTTACGAATTAAACACTGTATTGAATAATATAAATGACGAAATAACTACGTTCGGAAAACCTGTTGTAGATGTACAATCATGTCAACTGTCATTACTAAGAAGGAAAGAGGGCCAGGCTTAGTTGATGAAAGTAAACGCGGAACCTAAAACTATTGAGCATATCACATTGACCTTAAAAACGAAAATAAAAACATCAGCTTTCAATGTCTCGGGCTGTTGTATTTTACCTTGTGGCAAACTTGTAATTGCAAACTTTGATCCTTCGTATTTGATATTACTTTTACCTGATGGGAAAATTGAAAAACAAATTACCAACATAATATCCCGTATTTATGATGTTACAGACACTGAGAAGAATATTAAACTGGTGAGTCTTAAATCAGGAAAAACATGCAAAAGTATTAATACCCATTTCCCTTCCTGTGATGTAACTCGCACTAATGGTAATTTGATCATTTCTCCCGATGAAGGACAACTGCAGGAGATCAAGATAGAAGATACCACAGCAAGGGAAATTGGACGTACTGTAGTCTCAACATACGTTGCTTCATTAGGCAATACATTATACTCCGTACAGAGAGGTACAAATTCGGTTGTCTGTCATAATGAAAAAGGGGATACGCTATGGACATTTGCGAACGAAACGATATTGAAAGAAGCCAGAGGAATCACAGCAGATGAATATGGAAATGTATTTGCCGCCGGGGCCGAATCGAACAACGTGATTGCAATAGCCTATGATGGCAAAAAACACAAAGTTCTCCTGTCAATGATAGACTTGTGTCGTTCTCCATGGGCAATTGACTACAACAGCGAATTGAAATCTTTGCTTGTAGTAAACGAAAAAGATGGTCAAGCGTTTGTGTACAATGTAAACTCCGCCTAAATATATTTGCAACCGTAGCATTATTTTAAAACTAAATAAATTGACAGTGACAACCTTTTCATCAAATGCAGATAAACTTAATCATTTTTTTCATATTTGTTTACAACATACAGTGTTATATTAGTATGTAATCCGTTTATCAGTTATAATTCATATACCTTGCGATTTGACACCTTCGAAATGATCTGAATTGCTTCCTTTTTGTTGTAATCAGAGACGGTAATGTAGGCGGTACTAAATTATATAGTGCATTCCTCGGTTAACTCTTATAAACTGTTTCAATTAAATGCTCCTTGTAACTGGATATTGACTTGAAGACTATATTCTGACTTATATGTGTTTATTAGAATAAGCTATGTATTTTGTTTTGTAAGGTTGTTACCTCTACCAGATTTACACGGAATTAGCAATTGGCGTATAAGGTTCTTCACCTGAAAACAGATCTGAAAGCGTTACTATATTTCACACTACATGTTTTCATGGTGAATGTCAACAGGTTTTTATTGTTCTTAATTGTAAGCGAATCACGGTTCTGAAGACTTTGATTTCAAGGGGACCATATTCAAATTATAGCGCAGCAAAACAAAAATTTACTACCAAATGATGACGTAATTGGAATAAAAAAGTAGAGGGACGGTCGAAAAGAATATTCTAGAAATATCGAATTTTCACTAGATACCGAACTTGGAATCGTATTTAAATGCCATTAACCTCTATCTGTATAATTACAAAAGGTTACGTAATGTTGCACACAAGGTCATACAAAAAAATAGGAGATGTTGTATAATTATCAGTTTGTTGACTATCAATACACCAAAAAAAAAGGATCAATTACAGGTCACCATACGGCTTCCTATATGAATAAAATCCATACCTTACAGGTATAACACATCTGTAAAAAGCACACAGTTTGACAAACATAAAACAATATAAGTGAAAATCAACGGCCTAATTTTTTACACCAATGACCGTCAAACACTTATGGCAGGCATCAACCCAATAATAGCGCTATGATAATCGTTGCCCTCAAATAGTACTTACGGTTAGCAAATATATAGAATTATATATCAATGTGTATTATTCATATCATCCAAACAGGATTTTCAATCACATCGGCAGTCACTAATTAGTGTGCTCGGCACGCGTTAGGGAGGTAGTGGGTTTGCTCACCGGACAGGTTAGACCGAAGACTTAGAAAAATAGTGTTTGCTGCTTCCCTGCGTACCAGGCGTCAATTAAGTCATTAACAATACTCCCGTCTACTTTTCTTTAAGTGTGACATTACTTACTTATAAACGAATTTTACTTGCATGAGCAACAACACGACGAGTGCCACATATGGAGCAGCATCACCTTACCCGAGCACTTGAGATTATTATGTGTTTTTCGTGGGTTTCTTTAAATATACACGGTCTGTTCTTTTTGCTTAGTCTTTAGTTTTCTATGTTGTGTTTTGTTGAGTGCTGTTTTTTTTAGTTTGAGCATTTTTCGTTTTTTTGCCATGGCATTTTCGCAAAAGTTCGTCTTCGACTAATGAGTTTGATTATCCCTCTGGTTTCTTTGGCCTCTCATTTACAGTGTTCTAGCTAGATCAAGTTTACAAGACGTATCGCCTAACTATGTATATATGTTTAAGACAGGAAGTAGAAGAGTATATCTTCAACATAATGACCTTAAGGTTTTTTTACTGAATACTTTCACAAAACACTTATGCCCAATGGAGAGTCTAAACTCCTGAATTATTTTTTTAATAAAATTTGTAGAAAAAAAACATATTGTGCTTAAGGAAAATATATACAATCAGCATGAAATATACTGATGCCAAAATGTGGGCAGTTATTCTCTTGGTGAAACATTGATAAAAAGCAAAATATACCATCTATCAGATTACTTTTGTCAATATCAATCTGTTCTAGAGTGATAAATCTTGATTTTGATACTTGAATATTAATAGTTTTTGGCTTCTTTGTGCTATACTGTGCGATTAGAAGATTGAATAATACATAAAGCTATTTCCTCCGAACTATTTACAGCACTATTTCATTCATAACAAAATATTTACATTCAATTCATAAAAGGTGATACAAACATGCTAAAAAAAGTAAAATAACCAAAACACAGAACTCCGAGGAAAATTCAAAACGGAAAGTCCCTAATCAAATGCAAAATCAAAAGCTCAAACACATCAAACGAATGGATAACAACTGTCATATTCCTGACTTGGTAAAGGCATTTTCTTATGTAAAAAATGGTGGATTAAACTTGGTTTTATAGCTAGCTAAACCTCTCACTTGTATGACAGTTGCATAAAATTCCATTATATTGACAACGATGTGTGAACATAACGAATAGACATAATAGTTACAAATGTCAAAAATAGGGGTACAGCAGTCAACATTGTGTTATAATCTTAAAAACTATGAAAACACTAAACAATTTAAAAATATAAATATTACGAACACTGTACGAATAAGATAGCTACATGTCAAAGAAGCCACTGCGAAACACTAATAGGGACAACATATATCGGTAGAGCCTTCCTTTAATCATGATACGATAAAAGAATTTGTAATCCCAATGAGCAATACAGGTAAGATATAAAGAGCCTCGGGTTGGTGTTTATAATCAGTTCTTTAAACTATCTAGCCAGTTGTTATTCCTCGTTATAACAGAAATAGGGCGTATTACTTATTTACTTCCAATGACGAAGTGTTGAATTTGGCATTTATTAACTGTTCTTATGTCCGACTGCATTTAAGGTATGTAAAAAAAGAATCACTGAGTAAAGTATTAAATGGAACGAACAGGGTATACAACATATCAAAATACATACATAGTTGGTTAAAATTCATCATAACTATATGACCAAATGGTTGGTTTACAGGTCAGAATGTACTTGATGCACGTGTGCAACTGAAAAGTGTGTAGACCTGGCCGCACTTAGTAAATCTAAAATACATGTTTTCTTATAAAATATAATCTTTCTACTATTTTAAGATTCATTTTTAGCTCACCTGCTCCAAAGGCTCGGCGAGCTATTGACAACATTTGGCGTCCGTCGTCGTCGTCCGTTAACCTTTATAAAAATCGTCTCCTCTGAAACTACTGAGCCGAAGAGTTAAATGAAATCAAAGTTGGCCACAATCAGTATTAGGATATCTAGTTTTAAAAAGGTCGACTCACTATAGAAGTTATTGCTCGTAAATGATGAATTTTACAAATTTTGTCAGTCTGCCTATTATCTAGAAAAGTATAATCGAATTTTTTAATAGCAAAACATTATCAGAAAGACAAAATCTACAAACAAGTCTACAGGGCCGAAATTGTCGATCTCTTTCAAATAGGAGTTATTGCCCCTAAATGACTATTATTACCGGTATATATATGCAGAGACCAAATGACTTAGATGTAAGCATCTATTTGTCACCAGTAGCTTCAACAATTATTAAAACATCAAATAAAGTAACTTATAAAAGATTCAGACATGACAAAAAGTACAACAAATCCAAAGAGAAAAACCAACGACCTGATTCCTGAAAAAACAATAAACGAAAACAAATATGACAATAAATGCCAATTTAAATCCAGGGAATGTTTGATTTTCTGAAACACAAAATGCAATTTACTTTAAAATATCTAAGTCCGGTCAGACCTTGAATATTTGTTTTTATTGCACAGGTTTGTCTGTACTCATAGTGTAAACATTGTGGTGTAAACACAACCAATGTCATAATTATGACGAACCCTAAACCAGGGGGAATCGAGGATCATGTATCTTTGCAAATTGCGGCAAAAAGTTTATCAGTAGATGCAGATGTGTCTGAACTTCGTAAATCATGTCGATGATAAATGTCCCTCCAACATTTTACAATTGGTGCAATTTGGGGAAAACATTAACTGTTTTATGATTTCTATACACGACAAAATCATCTGAAGACTCCACCCCACCCCCTTGCAGGTGAATGAAGTGAACTTTTAAACGTTATGCTGTATGGATATTTTAGGAGTTAACAACATCATGACAGTGGTATACAAAAACAAAATGGTCAAAGTTTTTGAATTACATGTTCCAGAAATGTATGTTAATGGGAATGTTAGGATATATATTTTATACGACAATAATACGAAACCCAACACATTTACTTATACGGTTTTAAACAACATATATTTGTTTTTTCCATTTTTCAATGATCTTCTGTAAGTGGTATGAATCATACTTTGACAACATTGCCTTTTTAACCTTATGTTTTGACCAATTAATGATATTCATAAGTTGGTAAAAGAATAACGTTTACTTGGAAGTAATTTTATGTCACTCTGTCGTTTATTTTTGTGAACATAATTTTACATTGTATCCAACACACTCTCAATGGACTTCAATTCTAAATACATATTCACATCTATTATACATGTTATAGTCGATTTAAGAATTTATCTCATTACATGATGAATAGCGTATATCTGTATTTCCCACTTAAGTTGTAATTACGATTTCCTTGTGGTATCATGTTCCATAGATTGGCTACCAATATTACAAGTCAATGTCACATCAACCGTAAATAAGATAAACACCGAGTGTTTTTGTTTTAGTCATAGTTTCATTTCTTCAATGAACACGGGTAACATCCGGCGAACAGATTAATTGGTTCTGATGTTATTGTATCAAAGATCAAGATCATAGCAAAGCTATTATACTTTTTGTGTGTGTACTTTTTGTAAATGTTTGGTTTTCGGATAATATCTTTTGAATCATCCAATATTTTTCAAGATACTTGCATAGGTGTGTAAAGCTTAAGGTGAAAAAATGTATTGATTATAGGTGTAATACCACCATTGATTTTCCCATCTTAGTCTTTGTTTAATTTTGCACTTTTCAAAAAATTGTGCAGAATTTATCTTTGTCTCAAATAAAGAATTACTTGGCATGAGTAAAGTATAACCCTGTCCAGTACTATAGACAAAATTTCACATAACATTTCATTGCATATAAGAAATATAACCATCACTGGAAGTTAACCAATCAAATGTTCACCCCTTTTTTTCCTATGTACAAGCTTTAGTAACAATGTAACCTCAAGTTTCCAAAAAAAATTCTATATGGTGTTGCTTTTTCTTTGTCTTATGGTTGATAATTATC